TTTTTTTTTTTTTTTATAAAAAAAAAAAAAAATTTTTAAAAAAAAAAAATTTTTTTTTTTTTTTTTTAAAAATTGAAAAAAAAAAAAAAGTTAAATAATTTTTACATTTCAAAAATTTTTATTTTAGTATAAAAAGTGGAAAAAGTCAAAATTCTTTTTTCTCAGAATTCTGACTAATCTCAGAATTGTGACCATGAAGGAAGAGATCATAGTACGGAAGAAAATAAGGGCAACCAAAAAAAAAAAGTACACTGATTTTAAAATTTTACTTCTGTATAATATGGGGGGAAAGTCAGAATTCTTACTTTAATCTCAGAATTTTGAATTTTTTCTCATAATTCTGACTTAGATCTTAGAATTCTAACCATGAAGGAAGAGATCATAGTACGGAAGAAAATAAGGGCAACTTTAAAAAAAAAAGTTAACTGATTTTTTAATTTTATTTCTGTATAAAATGAGGGGAAAGTCAGAATTCTGACTTTAATCCTAATAATTCTGACTTTTTTTCCTCATAATTTGGAGTTTAATCTCAGAACTGTGACTATGAAGGAAGAGATTGTAGAACGGAAGAAGATAAGGGCAACTAAAAAAAAAAAGTTAACTGTTTTTTTAAATTTTATTTCAATATGGGAGAAATGTCAGAATTCTGACTTTAATCCTAATAATTCTGGCTTTTTTCTCATAATTTTGACTTTAATCTCAGAAATGTTATCATGAAGGAAGAGATCATAGTACGGAAGACGATTAGGGCAACTAAAAAAAAAAGTTAACTGATTTTTTAATTTTGTTTTAGTATAATATGGGGAAAAAAAATCAGAATTTTGATATTAAAGTCAGAATTCTGACTTTTCTCCCATTTTATACTGAAATAAAATTTAAAAATCAGTTAACTTTTTTTTGTCAGTGGCCCTAATCGTCTTCCGTATATCCCAGCCTCTTTATTTTCCAATGTATTTTCCCTGACTCTGAAGTTTAATAAAATAGAAATAAAACTCACCTCATGTGTTGTAGCAGTCCGTATGCTTCGATCAGGGAGTGGACCATACTCGCCTGTTCATGGAGAACAAGAGAGAATCCGGTTTAAACCTCCATCTGTCTGCATGTGAATGAAAGCAAACGGAAGCTAAAGCATCTCACCCTGTTTGGGACTTTGGATAAAGTGTCGCAAGTCTCGATGTACTCCGGACTGTAGACATAAGCCACCCTCCGTTTGCTGCTCTCATCACTGTCCTCTCGGCCACTCATTTGACTAAAGTCAGAATATTACAAAAACAACCTATTTGGACGTGTTTAACAGCAAACTGTTAGCTATGGCTCTCTGGTCTCTGGGTCGGTGTTACACCGTCAACATTCCCCCCTGAAGGAACGAACCAAAGCTAACCTTAAACTTGCAAAGAAACAAACCGAAAAATCGCAAATAATTATATGAGATTATGAAATAAGTCCATATATATAGTTCAGATGTTGTGATTTGTTAAAATATGAATTGTGTATATTTTATTTAATATTGATACGAGATAGGAACGTTTTATCGCGGAAAGGGTTTCCGAGCAGGAACGGACGAAGACAACGATGCATTCTGGGATCCTTCTGTAGTCTTTTAGTTTCCTACGCTTTAAGTTTGTTATACTTTTCTTCCCTTTAATGACAAGATATGATATTTACCGAAAAAAAAAATACATAAAAGGAGTTCTGTTTGCTAACTATCCAAATAAAATATTGTTTTGAGAAATGTTTTTATCACATTCTTCAAATTCAATTCACTTCAGCCATGGGCAGTTCTAGAGAGGGGCCAACGGGGGTAGGCTGGAGAACTGATCCTGGTCCCTGTTATGGCCCCTGTACTGAAAACTTACGCTGCAATATTTTTTATCATCTAAATAAGTCATTTTTTCTTAAAAGTCTGTGTATTTTCCTTTCATTTGAGCAGGTAAGTTAGATAATTTTCAATAAATTAAGATTATTTATCTTTAAAATAAAAAAAAACATATTTTACCTTATTTCAAGAGCATCACACCTAACTATATATTTATAAGAGCAAAAATACTCAGTCCTATGGTAGATCATCTTATTTATCTGCTCATATTAAGGGAAAGTTCTGGTGACGATTCTCAGTCATCCAGGTTATAAGTCATTCGAAAAAAGTAAAAAAAAAAAACCAAAAAAATCCTGGATGGGAAGCGGAATGTCTTCAAACCTGGAAACAAAGTTCAGTGGATTGTTTTTTTAAACTTTTTTAGGATTAAGGACAAGTACACTTATTTTAATACATTTTTCAGCTTTTGCATCCGTTTTTGCAGTGTAAGACTAAATAAATATGTTATAATGATATGCACTAACAGAACAGACTGATAGTTATTTGTTCCCTGGACAAGCTGAATATTTCACCTTAACAATTTAATTTAACAATTTATTATAAATAACACGCAGCTTTAAGCTTCAGCAGTGTGACGATGGATCACAGTTTCTATCTGTTTCATTATGAATCTGTTACCTTGGCTTTGTGGGTCACTCAATATATTAAACAATGCACTTTTTAAAATTTTTTTAATTTATTATTCTTTTGTTCTGCAGTCCCATAAAACCAACACACGCCCACTCTGCCCCCCCCTTTGGTAAATTTCGTTTAGAACCACTACTGACTTCAATGTATGATTTAATTTCTACCTACATTTATTTGTTTATTCTATTTTGGGGGGCGAAATAATTGCATGCTTATTTACAGAGGTGTCAAGTAACAAAGTACAAATACATCGTTAC